CCCTTCAGTCTGGAACGAATGAATGATTCACAACCCGGTAACTATTTCAGACACCATGTCCACAGAGAGAAGGATAAGGTGTGTGTGTGTGTGTGTGTGTGTGTGTGTGTGTGTGTGTGAGTGTAGTGAGCCTCCGTGGATGCACTTAATGACAGATAATTGGTGGTTAAGTACAGATATAAAGAGGCGGCTAACGAGTTTCTGTTCACACCAAGAGAGTTTAACCGAGTGTGTGTATGTGTGTGTGTGTGTGTGTGAATGTCCTTCACTGGTTATCACACACACATAAACACACACACACAAAGCAGATGTTCATTGAAATGAACGATTGAGCTGATTTCCATTTGAATGCTGAGTGGAAGTCATTATGGTGCAGCTATAGAGAGGTGACATCACTGATACCGTGTGTGTGTGTGTGTGTGTGTGTGTGTCTGTGATATATATATATATATGTAGAGAGAGAGAGTGATATCCTAGCAGCACATTATTCCCTATTGTTTGACATTGTCTTTGTTCCATCAGATTTCATGAACTTTTTTTCCCATAATGAATGATGATGATCCAGGTGAGAGTGTGTCAGGCTTGTTGTGTCTGGCGGAGGTCAGCCGGTTGTCTTTATTATCATATGAATGGCCGCTCTCAGCTGTTTCCAGCGGGGCATAGAATGGCATTAACACGGTTAAAAACGAGGCCTGTTGCCGTTTCCCATCACAAAGAGTCGCCTGAAAAATGAGCTTTTGTTAACACGTCTTCTCAGATGACCAGGTAATCAGCGTTAGACTCGCGGGTCTGCTGGAAAAAAAAAGAAGAAAAAGAAAGATTCAAACAATCAACCGACGCTGAGGGAATTCCCTGAACACAACAAAGGCTGCTGGGTAATCGGTAGCAGAGCGGTCGTCTTCCATAGCGACAAGGGAGATCGTTGAGGAAGAAGAAACACAGCTTTTTCTCTTCAGGTTTCTCCAACTAATGAGGAACCTGTTCCGACAGGAGAGGTCATGTCATAGTATCCGATGTGCGGCAACAGAGGAGATAGTCTAAAGATGGATTAGAGATAATATGTGTTATGAAAATAGATTATCACCTTGTGTGTGTGTGACTAAACAAGGCCCAAGGTAAACAGTGATCATCCTTCAAAATCAGAAGTCTTCTAAACAGTATTTGTATTGTTTCTACGGAGGTAGCTTCAAAGCTATTATGCCTTCCATAACTCTACTTCTTCACACGATAGAGGAACATATTTTCATGAAATCAATTTGCTTGGATTTCTGGGGGTCGCTCAGAAGCCTCTAGAACAGGGGTCCCCATCTGGCGGACCGCGGTCCAGATCCGGACCCAGGACCTAAAATCGATAGTTCAGAATCATACATGTTAGGCAGCGAATTTGTACTTTAACCGACGCATCTTATTCAGCCGTTACGGCACTTGTTCAGCGGTGCAGGACACACCGTCCCACCGTGATGTGATTGTGAATCACATCACGTGATACAGCTCAGCCAATCAAATATGAGTATTCTGACAAGTTTCCTGACTCGAGCGAGGTTTACACACACCGTGACACACGGGGGAGAGACGAGGAAATAGAAACAAGAGCAGGACAATTGCGCTAATCAGAGAGGTTATCTCACATGACGTTCTCCAAAAAGAGAAACGTGTTCAGAGAGAATAGAATTTATAAGCATGAATGAACAGACTCTTGTCTGTTAATTCTTCCCACAGGCAGTTAAAGCCAACATGTCTCATATGTTCAGAAACCATAACTATTGATAAAAGCGGCAAATGAAGCGACACTACGAGGCAAAGCACAACTCCTTTGAACAAACGTATCCACTCACATCTGAAATGAAGACACAGAAAATAGACCTAAGAGCCCAAAATGATCAGAATCACATGAATTCACTGCCCAACAATGATGTTAACAGAGAGAATAGAGCTGAAACAAGTGGTTTAATAACTACAGATAAAGATCATGCTCACTGATTTCTCTTTTTAAATGACAAAAATATAATATTGTGGCTTTTTTATTGACATCACTTCACACCTGAATGAACTGAATTTAAAGCTGCAGGACAATTCAGTGAAATTAATTTTTCTAAAATGAATTACTTTATTTTAAGATGCACATTTTTGAAAAGCTTTCTGTTATGTCAGTTATTCTTTAATCCAGCCATTATTGTACTTGAAATGAGAAGAACATTTATTTATGTATTTCTATGTGTTATTTATAATCCATCCAGTTAAATTTAAAAACTGAGAATAATAATTTGTTGAAATATAATTGATGTGTACTTTCTTTATTTGATTTGACGTTGTTACTACTACTAGGCTTCTTGAATATATATATATATGGCACTAAATATCGCAAGTTAGATATTATTGTAACGTTTCGGACCTTTGCCCGAGGAGATTTTCTCAATCTGGACCTTTTGGAATCTTAGTTGAAGACCCCTGCTCTAGATTGAGGCCTTGTTCCAGACCTCTGAATGTTCGCCCACATCTCACATTTGTTTAGCGATTCCAATCGGTCTTGTGTTTCCCCTCGTTGACGAATGTTTCAACCAGAATTTTATTCTTGTTTTTAATATTTAGTTGTAATTTACTTTTTCTATTTTAGTTGAATTTGTTGCCATATTTAGATATCATAGTCTTATTGGGCGACCGTTGCTCACAGGCTTAAGAGGGTCTGGTAACCGCAGGGTCAACGGTTCAATCCTCAACTGGGACGTGTCGAAGTGTTCCTGAGCAAGACCCTGAACCCCCGGGTGCCTGTCATTGGCAGACCACTGCTCCCTATATACAGGGATGGATCAAATTTCGTGTATATGTATATGATAATAAAAAGGTTTCTATTATTGTTATTCTATTTTGCACTTGTGTCAGTTTTACTTTTTTTGTGCACTTGATACTTATTACTCTATTGTTCATATACGTATGTTTATATTGTTTCTTGTTATTTTCCTGTTATATTCTTTGATCAAATTCTGGCAAAATAATTTCCTTCGGCATTAAGAAAGTTTTATCTGACCTTGTCATCTCTTATCTTATCTTTCTTTATCTTATCTTATCGTATTGTATTGTATCATATCTCATCTTATCTCATTTTATCCTCTCTTAGCATATCTTAACGTATCTTAACTTATCTTATGGTGCAGCACCATTTCTTCAACATCTATACAGATCAGCGAGGCAGGACAATACCCGGCTGCTGATTGGTTCAGACGTGTCCTCCCGTGTCTCTGGTGCTCAGTGTCTCGGACTGGTTCCTGCACACGTGTAGCAGCCGGTGTTGTTTGTGCACCGCTGTGTAGCTGTTGGCGTGCCGTGGCTGCAGCAGCTCAGGGTTTAAGGGAAATCGTTAGCTCTTAATTTGAGCATTACTGCAGTGATAAATTTACACCACCAGATAATGATGTATCGATGGGGGACAAATACACAACTCCCCCCCCTCTGCAAAGTTTCTACCTTTCCTCTCTCCCTCTCATCTTTTCTTTCATCCATCTCTTATCCTATTCTCACCCCTTACAGTTGTTTTTGTTGTTGCTCGCTCTCTTTCACTATTTCCTCTCCTTTCTTTTCATCTTCTTCCCCTTCACTCTTTTTGTCATCCTTTCGGTATCTCTTTCTCTTTCTTCTCTCGTGTTCCCTTCACAATTTCCCACACTGTCTTTTCTTTACCTCTGTCCTTTTTTTCTTTTTCTTGTCCTCCTTTTTTTCCTTTTCCCTTCCTTTTTCTCCTTCCACTTCATTCCTCTCCTCCTTGATATTCGTTCTCTTCTTTTTTTGTTTCTTTCTTCCCTTTTTTTCCATCCCTCGTTAACTTCTCGTCTTTTCGATTCATTGTATCCTTTTTTTCTTCTTCTTTTTGTCCTCTTTCTTCTTTTCTTCTTTTTTCATTCTTCCTTCCCATCCTCCACCCACCCCTCCTTCCTTCCTTTCATCTTCAAATATACACACATATGTGGTAATGTTCTGGTGTCCGCTTACTTTTGGCCCTGTACTATATTTAAAGTGTTAATATGTAACAGGGCTCATGAACGTGTGTGTGTGTGTTCATTGACAGTTACAGGACGTTCCCGTGTGTGTGTGTGTGTGTGTTCATTGACAGTTACAGGACGTTCCTGTGCGTGTGTGTGTGTGTTTGCTGATGGGGAGAGAATGTTTGTTGTCTTGACGCTGACGGCGTTGTCACGGTGCTCGCTGCTTCACGAGGCCTCCAGGCTTCGTCCTCATGCCCGTCCAGCCTCAAAATGGCTTCTGCCTTACGTCTCTGCTCCTCGCAGCCGCGAGCTGCTGTCCATGTTGTCAAAGACGACGTTCAGTGACAGCTGGAACATGGCAGCCACCTCGCCCGTCTCGCCCTCCTTCCTTCCTGTTTACACGTAGTGAGCCTGTAGACAGTTTACCAGCAGTCACTTCAGAGACAGGAGACAGCTTTTTTCCTTCAGACTTGTGCTTTAAAGCAGCCAATTGAACTCGGTCGTAGTGGAGAAGCCTCAGGTCCTAGCCTCTGGTTTAGCTTAGCTTCCTTCTCGTCTCTCCTCCCTCTCCTCTCTGGGGCAGCTTGGTGGCGTTTGATCCAGCAGGTCTGTCTGGTTGGTCGGCTGTGGGCAGTGATCGTCTGAAAGTCCGCTGCACTTAATCCCCACGCTTCCTTTTCAGATGTTGATGAATATATTCTGTCATAGGCCATAAGTGATAAACACGGAAAAAACAAATAAAGACTGGTCGCAGCAACTCAGCTATCTCACCCCTAACTGTGGTTTTAAGTTGGTAATCAGACTATAAACAATGAGCAGCGCATAGAAAAGGAAGTGTTGGCCCGGAAATCAGCCAGCTAGCTTAGCTTAGCATAACAAGATGAGAGAGAGGTTTTGCTAATTTAGAGCACAAAGGGAATAATAAATATAATATGCTGTTCTAAACATGCTAACATTCTAAAACTGTGTGTGAAATGTGAATGTTCCTCTCTTGTTCATGTGTTGTTTTGTGTATTTCTGCAGTGCCTCCTCAGTTCCTGAACTACCCGACCAACACGTATGCATACGAGTCCACGGACATCGAGCTGGAGTGTGCTGTGACGGGAAACCCGCCACCGACTGTTCGCTGGATGAAGAACGGAGAGGAAGTCATCCCCAGCGACTACTTCCAGATAGTGGTGAGTCACAGCAAAACCAGAAACTATACAGATATTATCTAGATTTACATATATAAGAAACTTTGAATCAGTATGTGGAAAATACCTCCACAGAGTTGGTGACAGTAAAGAATATCCAATTGGAATCCACACCTTCAAATATACATCCATATAGCATTAATCAGGAATCAATATATTGCAAATAACTATATTATAAATCTGTTCATACAATGTTGTTACTATTGTGATGACGACTTTACTTTTCTTCAAAAGACAATAAACTGTAGGACACTAATTCTTGAAACATCATTCATGAACCTAAATACAAAGTCACTCAGATAATGAGCAGTAGACACATATCCTGCTGTCACTTATACACATGTATATATATATACATATATATATACACACATATATATATATACATATATATATATA